GGCCCCCTGCCACTATATTTGTCTGCACAGCTTCAGGTACCAGTGATGGCTGTGGATTGCCATTCCAAGCCAATGGGAGTGGTGAGAAGCGGTATGGACCATACCACTGCTTCCCACTTCTCCTGTTGGCTGGGAACAATGATCAGTGGCCAACAGAAGCTGCTGTGATCACTGGTATCTGCAACCGTGTAGGTAAATATAGTAGTTGGGGAGGGCATCCACCAGGAGCTAACCCTGGCAGACTGGATCTAGCCTGCAGGCCAGTATTTGCCCACCCCTGCCTTAAGATCACAAGTTTTATTCTTGAGGGGACCTGATAGTGTGAGTATATAAATATAATAATTTGTGGTCAATTGTTTTCTCTGGCCACTAAATCAGGACAAAAAGCTATGAGCTTAATTTGCAGCAAGGGAGATTTAGGTTAGATAATTAAGAAAATCTTTTAATTATGAGGGTAAGTTAAGCTCTGGAATAGGCTTCTAAAGGAATTCCATTATTGGAGGGCTTTTAAGAACAGATGGGACAAACACCCATTAGGAATGGTCCAGACTTACTTGGTCCTGTTTCAGCATAGTGGGCTGGACTTGATGTATTCCAGACCTACTTTTCTATGATGATGATCATAAAAAAGGACATGCACCATTTTCTAGTGCCACTCCCTAGGTCAGAACAATCTATGTTGTGGTATTCCTGTCTTGTTTCTCTAAAGCCACATTACATCCCCTGAGTATTCTGATTGTGAAAGAAAAATATTTCTACATGAAAAGCTCCAAAACAAGTCAGTCCCCTTTTACTCCTCTGTTAACTTTTTACATTCACAGGGGAAACCTATTCTTATGTCCTTATTCAGGAGCCTTTGGTAGTGGGGTTGGCATTAAAATAAAAGCAAATGATCATTTCTTCATCTTAGCTTTGTAAGAACAGTCATTGTAAAAAAAAGTCATTTTTATTCCACAAGCAGAAAAGATTAAATGTATTACAATGGGAAGACTGTCATGAGATCCTTGCCAAAAAAACTCACCAAACTTTAGGTCTCCTGGCAGTCTGTAATACAGGCCATTTGTTTTAAAAATCCAGTGCAGAGAATCTGTTGGATCATTAGTGTCAGTATGACTAAGTACCAAAAGAAAATATATGCACCAGTCTGTACCTATTTGATCAAATGAGTGGTTTTTTTGTCTTTCTTAGAAACAATTTGGCATGGCCTATAATATTAAATGTATTTGTCAAAGCCCATTCTAGCCATAAAGAACTAGTAGATATGTACTTGCTCTACATTGCTGCTATTGATTGTGTAAACTGATTCTTATTTGGGAGATGGTGGAAAGCATTGCTTATCTTCCCAACACCTATCACTGCCACTGATTCTAGCTTGAGGACCTGTTCTACTCTCCTTTGTCTAACTCAGTTATGTAACGTATGTTTTTTGTTCAACAGGCAACCCACTGCTACTATGAATCCACATATAGTTTTCAATTTAATTTGAATTTCACCTGCTATGGTTTAGTTACTGCTTTAATCACCACCATACTAACCATGCCACTCTAAGGTCCATAAGGAAAAGGCATATAAAATAGCATGCACACCGAGTCCAATAATATACTCATTAATTTTATTGGTCTTTTGCAGGAGGAAGATAACCCACAGATGCTACGTCTTTTTACAGAGAGACAATCACATATGTTGAAGGATTTTGGAGAGCAGCTTGAATCTAGCATATCTAGGCTGAAAAATGATGTTGCGCTTATAGTTAAAAAGAAGAGAGAAAGCATAGCATAAGCAATTTTTAAGCAAAAGTGACTGTTACATGACAGTTAACTTTTGCAATGTGCCAATGGCAGGTGGGAGAGCCAAATCACAACCTTCACAAGCCCTAAAGCATAAACAATCTTAGTTTAAATCAGTACTTTCAAGCATAATGTGGTCTTTGTGGAAGACGGAGCAGCACAGTTTTCTTGTTAATGATCCAGCTAATGCAGAGACCTCAATTTTAGAATATATCTGGTAACTTTAAATGGTGTAGGCACAATTCGCTTGAATTTATGTCCATAATGATTTATATGCACTACGATGGCAGTAATGTGCATTACATGATGCCCATATTGCTGCATATAACATTCCATCCTCATTTGGATGGTGGGTGGGGAGGGCTCAGGGTTGGAGCTGGAGAGTTGGGGTGTGGCCTGGGATGAGGGATTTGTAGTGTAGGCTGCCCTGAGGGGGCGGGAGAGAGAACTGCCTCCTGTGCTTGCTCTGGGCCAAGTGCCTCTCTAAGGCCATGGCAGCTCCAGGTTGGTCTGTGCCTCTAGGAATGCCTCTCCTCTTTGCTGTGGCATGTCCAGAGCAGCTCTGGGTTGGGGCTGATAAGGACAGGCACCTACCTCTCCCTGCCAAACCCATGTAGTTTTGAGGGAACTGTAGCATAGGGATGTTAAATTTAGATGGATTAATTAATCCACTAGTCAATGGAAAAGTCTGTAAGGGCACCTCCACCATTGAACTGTAACAGAGATGGTTCAAAAGTTGAAGCCCCACAGGCAGCGCAGTCCCATTTTGTACATTTCAAAAGGGGAATTGGCAAGAGCAGAAACTGCTTCAGTCCCTGCTTGCACCATTTCCCACTGTGCCTCTACCTCCCCTCTGTTTGCTGCCTCTCCCTGATAGGCAGGAAGTCACTAGTTACATCACTAATTGACTATCTGTTAAGCTTCTGCTTATTGGATAGTCAACTAGTCATTTACATCCCTAATGTACCATACACAGTCAGATCAAAGCTGCTTGCATGTTTCATACTAAATCTTTGCAATTCAAATTACAAGCATGTTTCCCTCCCCATCTCTGGAATCACATGAATAAGACTTACAGCTTGGAGCTACCTATCTAGAAGATAGCTTCTGCGCTCACATAACATGTATGTTCATTTGTTAACCTTGTTTGACCTCCAACAAATGTCTTTACCTTAACTGCTCTAAATGTATTCTTGTTTTTCAATGGAACTCCTAGCAATAACTTGATTTTCCTGCTGTAAAGCCCATAACAGCAAATTACTAAGCAACTGAAGTTTAGTCTTGTTTTATTAGGTACCATATCATACAAAAATGATCACAGCACTAATACGTGGTCCCTTCCCCTAATAGTAATAAGTAATGGCTTGATTAGCTAAGGCACTTATTATCCAGACCCTTCAGTGGTAAATGGAGTTACTTCATAAAATAGCAGGTTCTAGTTATCAATCTGAAAAGCTCTCTAACTACTGCCCCTAATCTATCATTCTGGCATTCTATGACCTATTACAATTCAAAAAATGATCATATCTAACACACACATCTTGTTAACCTCTTTCAGACCATGATTATAATTTTGGCTTTAAGTAGTGAAGCAGCAATTTCCTTTAACATGTCAGAGGTTAGAAGTGTTGTTAATCTTTTGCATTACGTGGTTCACTAATGACTAGATGAAATACTTCAATCCTTTTGACATTATTGTAAGCAACAGTACATTTGATTTGTAAATATTTTTATTAGATTTTACACTCAAAGCTCTTGGTATCTTAAGCATCTGTTTCCAATGATGTTAGTTCATGCAATTATATTTTTCCTTAGAATTATTTTGAAACTTCAAGCTTCTGGCTTGCTAATAACAGAGAACTCAATTCCGTGTTTGTTCAGACGATCAATCAATTTTGTTTTAGAGAAAGCAGCTCCGGGAGTATATACACCGCCTCTGTTAAGTGAATTATAAAACTATTAAAATATGTACCACTTGTAATCATTAAAGTAGGTCAAAAGCAAATAATTTCAGGACTGAATTGTTAAATATCCTCTGCCTACAGTAGATAAAATCACTTGTCCTAACAGTAGTATTGTCAATGCTTGTAAATTAGTTGATTCACAGGATTTTGAGCCTGCAAAAAGTTAATGGGATTTTGCAGACTGTCTCTATAGCAGAGGGGGGATCCTGGATCCAAGAGTAGCTCTTCAGTGATTCCATCTGCTTAGTATAGTCCCAGAACCCCCTCTCTGCTATATCCTAATGCATTCAGGGATCACACACAACTCTACCAGCACACATTTCAAAAGCAAACCACTTGTTTATGTATAAGTTATTTCTATAATTACTGAAGTATTTATGTAGCTAACATTTAAAATCTCCATAACCCAAATAAGCCAAAATTATGCTTCTTTTCTGCACTGGATGCACTGGCTTTTTTTTTTTTAAACAATTCCTGTATTCCAGGCAGAGAACCAGCTGCAGGATGGGAGGGAGGAGGAGAAGACTAATGCAAAGTAATTGAGCTATATGGTGGGAAATTAAGATTCTTTTAATTAGAGGCTAATATTTCTACAATTAGTGATTTAAAAAAATTAATTGTAAGCATTAGTTATTACAAATCATTATGCACAGAGTGTTACAGAATGTTTGGCTTTGACTGTTCCCAAAATTTAGTAAGCTGGTTGATTTTGTAAAAGCATTAAGCCCATTCTCAATATTTAAAAAAAAAAAAAATGGAAAATTTTACTCACAGGGAGCATACTGTATGCTTCCTGGATATTTTCCAAAATCCATTTTAAATGCACACACTGTATAGTATGTTGAGAAATAAATACTCACTGTTTAGGAAGAGCACTTGCATCCTTTAGAAGTGCCACACCTGCCTGAACCATTGCTACTGCTGTAGCCATATAACCTGCATCTGCAAAACATGTGATAATGGAGTCATGTCTAACAGATTGTTGAAGACTGGAGATGGCACATAGTGCTGATGGTGTTAACATAACCGAATCCCTGTTCAACATTAACACTGTTCATCAGGATTTGATAGCAAGAGCCTTCAGCCTGTTTAATACCAGGGGAAATGCATAATTAAATATATTTTTATTAGAGATGAAGGGAATTAAAGATTTCATTTTAAACAACTTTCCTTGTTCCTCTTCCTTTTAAAAATTCTCTCCAGCTAAAGAGAAAAACTGTTGTTTAGCAGAGAGATGGTACTAAATGACCTTTTGGGAAGAAAAAAACCTTAGTTTACAGACTACAAATGTTGGGAAAGTTGGGTCCTATTTCATCAGCATTTGGGAGGTCTGAAGTACTGGTATCCACACATGTCTCTATCTAAGAGAGTGCCAGAGTCACTCAACCACAGTTGACACAGAGAGCTGATGAAGCCAATCACAACACACTAGTGACTGTTCAGGGAAGGCATAAGGCTAATTTGTAACTATCTAAAAAAGTATCATGGAAGTAATATCTACTCACATTGCTTTTAGTCCATCTAGGAACTAAATAAGGATCTTCTCCTTAGCAAATGTATACAAGGACAGTACTAGAAACTTAGCTGCAATGTGAGTAAAAGTTCATAAAATGTCACCATAAGCTGTAAAGAACATGTTCAGAAAAGAAACAAAAAGGATGGGGTTTAAGATCATGCCTGGTGAACAAAAGAAGGGCAGATTGGAAATCAAAATTTACTGTAGTGAAGAAAATACTCCAAACTCCTTGGCCCAAGACCAGAGCCTGCACCCCAACCTTCTTACCCAGGGGGATGGAGTGAGCAGGGTGAGACCTCAAAGAAGGGGCATAAGAAAGAAGTGGGGCAAGGGTATTTGGGTTTGAGGTAGATCTTACATTGCTTTTAAATTGAAAAGGTGAACTCATGGTTAAAGTTGGAGACCACTGCTTCTAAACCAACCCTTCAATCTTGTGTAACATTAGACACAACACCTTTAACTCTTTGTGCCCATTAATACACTCTTCCCCAAAAAATCATGAGGTAGCAGCAATGGCTCTGATCAACCCTGAATAACAATTCATGAAGTGCCAGGCTGCTACATGAAATGAAAGTCCATAAATTAGGCAGTAGGAGAGTTTTTTAAATTGTAGTTTCATATCCCCAGTTTAACTTTTTGCTTACACCCTCAAGCTGATTTTTCTTCTAGCATTACTGCCTCTTTAGAACAGCTGGCAACTATATGCTGGCTTTCAACTATCTTCAGATACTCTTTACAATGCTAAAACTATTGATCAGCTGAAGAAGTGTACATGATAAAACAGTTGACCTTTATTATGGTCATCTTAAAAATTCAAGTATTCTGACTTCTTTACCTTGTCCTTTCACTTGGGTGCAGATTTTTACATTTGGTTTCCCCTGTTGTGGATCTTCACCTTTGGCGTATCCCTCACCAAAAAATGTCATTGTAAAGGATGATCCATCTATCTGCAAAGCAAGAAGTGCACACACTGCATTTAGAAAGCATACTTCACCTTTGTGTAACAGCATAAATTATACTAAAAGCTTTTCCTAGTCTCTCATCCCAGATCAAACTCACTTGGGCTTGCAGGCCTTGGTCTAAGGGGCTAAAACCTTTCCCCTTGCAGGATTTAAGAGCCCAGACTCTAGCCCAAATGTCTAGACTCCACTTTTTGGCTCAGTCACAGGTTTTTTTTTATTGCAGTGTAAATGCACCCCCTAACTGGCAGACTATGGACCAGTGGTTCCCAACGTTTATACTGCAAACCTATTCACAAACTTTTGGCAGACCAGTAATATCTTGCAAATCAATATGCAAATAAATTTTTCATCTGTCCACGTAGCCCCAACCCAGCCCCTTGTTAGGCATTAGAGAGCACTCTTTGATCCCACCCCCACACTCCCCAGAGCCAAGCTGCCCCCCCCTCTAGGGAATGAGGCTGTCAGCAGCATACACACTCCCTTCTTCACACCCTCTCTCAGTATGTGTCTCGCCCCCATGGGTAAAGGGAGAAAGATGCCTCCTGCTCTGCTTCCCCTGCTGTTGCCTCAGCTCAAGCACTGCTGTGCTCCCTTCATGCCCAAGCACATCTCACGCCCCATGGGTAGAGGCAAGGAGGGGGGAAACACAGAGCCTCAGCTGGGCTGCCACCTTACCTGGGAGGGGAGGGGGAGAGGAAAGGGGAGAGAGAGGAGATGGCTCCTGCTCCACCTCAACCCCAGCAGCAGGCAAAAATCAGCCACCACATCTGCCAGAGCTGAGCCACCACCAACAGCCAACTTGAGCTCCACCAGCCACTGCAGGCCAGCAGCTGGGAACCACTGCTCCAGCCTACTGCTCCACAATTTGCATAATCAAAACAAACCTCAAAATAATGTATAACGGAGATGAAAAAATTAAATTACTTGTTTTTGTGTTGGTCCTTTCTTTGAAAAATATCCACTAGAGAAAAATTCTGGGTACTGCAGAAGAAAACACAAAATTCAATTAGAAAGACCTGGCCAGCATTTCTGAAATGTTAAAAAAAATGAAAAACAATACTTACTTTTGTCAAGAGATTTCTTCCAAAGCTGAACTTCACAAGAAGAAAAAATAAAAGGCCAGCAAACATCAGCTTAATAACAGATGCAAGACCACCCACTGTTGCATAAGCTGTGTACTGCACCTAATAAAGAAATACAAAATGATTAATAATTTTTCAGTTGTAAATTTACATAGATATGAAGTGAGACAAATAAGACAAAAAACTATTCCACTGTGCTGATGTCAAAAGATATTCAACAACAGAAAGATTCTAAAGAGCCTTCTAACAAACGTTTAGAATTGGTCTACACTACAAAGTTAGGTCACTTAAGTACATCACCCAAGCATGTGAAAAATTTCACACCTTATGCAACATAATGAAGCCTCTCTAAGCCTTGGAATAGACACTGCTAGGTCAACAGAAAAATGTTTCCAGTGACCTAACTGCTGATTCTCAGAGGACATGGTTTAGTACAGCAAGATGGACCCATTCTATCGTACAAGCTATCTACACTAGAAACACTGTACTTGTAACATTGTACCACTCCTGATTCCCCCCCCACACACACACACAGTTCTAATGATATTAAGTATTATATCCAATAAACAAAAGCTTACCAGCATCAGATATATAGTAGCCCAATGTCTGTGAGGGTATGTCTACACTACCCCCCTAGTTCGAACTGGGGGGGGGGGGGGGGGGGGGGGAGCAAAGAAGGTAATTCAAAAGGGGCAGTGGATGCAAGGCTGATCCCCAGCAGCTCAGCTGTGCCACACTGCCATCTGAACTCCACCTCTGTGTGTCAAAGTGGCACTGTGGAGCCTGGGGTTAGCTTGAGACTCCCCAGCTGACCCCAGCTCCACGCAGCATTTCAAATCCACAGAGCAGCATGGAGCCCAGCTCCTAGTCCCCTGCTGACTCCAAGCTCCATGAGAGCACTTCCACTTTGAAAAACACAAAAGCCCCCGCTGGGGACTCTTGTACATTTCAAAGCAGGCACGCCCGCGTGCAGCCTGGAGGCAGCAGGGAGTTCCCGCTGGCCCTGGGCTATAGGCAGAGTTCCGCATTTCTTCTTTGAAATGTACAAGAGCTCCCAGGGGCTCTTGTACATTTCAAAGGAAGCACGTGGAGTAGTCAATGGAAATTCCTGACTCTGTTTCAGCCATCTCTGACTAATGATGCATTTGTAATATCTACAGTGGGTAGAAAAAAAAATCAAAGGCAAATAACTGTAATTTTGTGTTGCCAGCTGTAGAGCAGGGATATGGCAAACAAAACTACTGCAAAACAGGTGTTAAGACAGACATGCATTACTTTTTCTTCCTCCTTTAAAACTGCATTTCCCATTTGCTTTTTTTCACCTCAACACAAGCAAAACTGTAACTGTTGTAAATGACTGCTGATAACCATCGCCCACCGGGAAAACCTGTAAAAGCTCAGCACCCACTCACTGTAAACATGATGCATTTTCTCACCTTCTGCCCTTAATCTGCTCACCCAAACCAAATCCTGCTGACATCAATAAGAACACCAAGTGCAGAACAAAAGAGGCATTTCCCTTTGGTCAAAATCTAGTTGCTATGCTACAAAGACGTGAATAACAGTTTTCCTTAATGCACAGAGGCAACAATCAGAAGGAAAGAAGCTATTTTTAAGAATGCTTAATGCTGTGAGTGTAATCATATATATAGTAGCCCAATGTCTGACACACTGTAATGCTGAAATGCTGGCTGTTCCCTCTGGGCAGCGCTGTTGCCTGAGTCACGTCCTTCGCCTCCCGCCATGGCGCTCGGCTGACTTCTGCGCTGCTTAGCCGGGCCACCGCGGGGCAGCAAGCAGCCCAAGCGGTCATTTGGGCACCGTGGTGCATGGAGAGTGCGGGGCCCGAACGGCCGCTTGCGCCACTTGCTCCCCCCACAACGGCCTGGCTGAGCAGCGCAGAAGTCAGCCGAATGCCACGGCGGGAGGGGAAGGGTGGTGGGGCAGGGCCTGGTCATGTACGTCACCGCCCTGCCCCCCTTTGCCTCCCACCATGGCGTTTGGCTGATTTCTGCACCGCTCAGCCGAGCTGCCGTGAGGGAGCCCAAAAGGCCGCTTGCTCCGCTTGCTCCCCTGCGGTGGCCCAGCTGAGCGACACAGAAGTCAGCCGAGCACCACGACGGGAGGCGAAAGGGGGCGGCGCAGTGACGTGTGGCATGACAGCGGCTCCAGGCCCTGCCCCCGGCCGTAAACGTCACTCAGCTGGCTTCTGTGCCGCTCAGCCAGGCCGCCGCTCAGGAGCAAGTGGCGCAAGCAGCTCTTTGGGCTCTGCACTCTCCATGCACGAGGAGAAGAAGAGAAAGAGAAAGCAAAAGGAGAAAGAGAGTGAGAGGCAGGAGGGGGAGAAGAGAAAGAGAGAGACGGAGAGAGAGGCAGGTAGTGGAGGAGAGCTGAGAGAGAGGGGGAGGCATTAGGAGGAGGAGAGAGAGAGACAGAACGAGAGACCAGAGGCTCAGGAGAGATGTATGAGATAGAAAGGGAATAGGATGTGGAGGGGAGACCCGTAAATCCCGTCTTATGATGGGCTATTGGCTAGTGTTAAAATAATGATGCTCATAAGAGCCCCCAGCCTATTAACTACTTTTACTGATGCTCAGTAAGGGAAAAGACAATGTGTTTGTCCCTTTTTTAACAATCCTAAATCCATGGTCAATCTAATCTGAAAACAGTTGATTTGCTATACCAGCTTGAAAGAAAATTGTTTGCAGCCAGACAATATTCTATATATAATACCGGAGAAGGTAAGCTAGATTTAAACAAGCTTCCTACTAAGAAAAATTCCACTAATAATTTCTTTGTGCATGCGATAGTGGACAAAAAATGCTTTGGCTGTCACCGTAACCAATGCACCAAACCACAAAATCTATGCAGTCATCAGACACCCAATATTATCACAACCACTTTCCAGACATTTCAGTGTCACAGGTTATCCATATGCTAAGGTGATCTGTAAGAATGCCACAAGAGGAAGGATTTCTAGGAGCAATTATACTAATGGCCAAAATCAAGCCAATCTGTGTCCCACCAGGTTTCACTGCTGTATGATATTTTCCAATTAGAGAACTCAAACTACCCAGAGTCTAGTAATCTCCAAAGCTACGTCTACACTGTACATTCTTGTGCAAGATGATATGCAAATGATATGCCTCATTTGCATACCTACTGAGCTGCCATTTTTTGCAGAAGGGGCTTTTGTATAAAAAGGAGCTATCTACACTGCTCCTTCTTGCTCAAAAAAATCCTTTTGCGCAGGAGCTGTTCTTCCTGAAAATAAGCATCAGAATGGCTCCTGCGCAAGAGGGGGCAGTGCAGACGTAGCCCAAGGGTAATTAACAGAACAAGTCCTTTATCTCAACAGGGGTTAAGTGCACTTTTCAGTTCACTCCCATGCTTTAAATAGGCAAACTAAAATATTCCAAATGCTTCACAACAGAACACTGATTTTATAAAACATAAAAGCAAACTTACAGGTATTTCTTGCAAATTTGTGTGCAAATATCGCTGAGTTCGTTTTACAACAGAAACATCTGATCCCATGAATGGAATGGAGTACTCTTTGAATTCCTTACTATAAAACACTAGACCTCTAAAGGCCAAAAAAAAAAAAAAAAAAACATTAATACTTTCCTTCACTTAGAGTAATGCCACCTGTATAGTTATTATTTTAAAAACTTAGCCAGTTATAACACTGATACCCACAATTACAGCTTGTACGAAAATAGAGCTTTTCCCCTAAGCATTTTCCCGTAAGCATACTATCGTTTCCTTTAGGTTTAAATAATAAATAATCCAAAACCTGAGACAAATTTATCCCTACCACAAGCCAAGTTCAATGGCATTATCCGGGGATGAATTTGACTTATTGCCTGCACAACATTTTCTCCTTCCATTAGCAGTAAAAGCTTTTGAAATATGATTAAGTTAGTGAATCTATGATCATAAGGTTTTCCTAATTTCGCTATATAGCTTTCAATACAGGTTATTTTACAAAATATCAGTCAATTCTGACACATTTTTCCCTCATTGTATCTTACAGACAGGAAACATTCCTTCTTTTAGAAATGTGTTAATTATATTAAAATATAATTTAATATAATATTAAATAAGTAATATTTATTTAATAGTACTCAATTTCACCACATCACATAACTCTATGGGAAAGAGATTAATACAAAACAAAAAAGCTTCTGATCTTATAGGTTCCTCTTACCTTCTTTTTAGTTTTGCACCAATGACTGGAAGAGGTTTGTATCCTATCTGCTTTCGAAGCTTCCTCAAATTGTCTTGATCCGCAAGGCCATGAACAGCTGACTTCCATGTTCCATCATGGATACTGTAACCCTAATGAAACACCATGAAATAGTAACTACTCCAGTATCTAAAATCCTGACAATGTTTAATCCAGAGTGGGAAAACTCTTTCCTTTTTACTACTTTTAACATTTTTCATACTATGTCTTCATGCACTAAGGCTGCATTAAAATATGTATTTAAACAAATAGCCAAAGAAGCAGCTCAGATAGCTATATTATAATGAATTTTGCACGTTTTCTCTGCTCTTCACAAATGACTCTCGCTATGACCCTTACATGTTTTTAATCAAGACTGGTTGTCAGTTACATCAAGACTAATAAAATATTTTTCATTGATACCATAAAAGGCTGGCAACCAGCTTTTTCCATGGTCTGATACAGCTTCATGGCAGTTTTGCAAAGCTGATACAAAGGGTATGACTTTTTACTTATTGGTTAAAAAATAATATTAATTTGATTAGCTGGTGTGTCAGAAGTTTTATAATTTTCAAATTATGTATTCTTATGGCTAATAAGTAGGTTATTTTTAGAAGACAATATACAAACTAACCTCAGGTCCAGATTTGACCGTCAGGAAACTTTCAACTGCAGTTAGGGTCCCTTTTATTTGGAAAAAAAGTGTTAAAAAAAGCAGTTCTTAACATATGCTGTCATAGATCAGTAAATCGGACAGTAGTTTACCCACTGAGGGACACATCTGGACAAACTGTCAGAGGATTAACAGCATTAGAGGAAGATAAGACTCCAGCATGGAAGTATTTGATCTCCCAGGAAAATAAAGATTAGGAGCCAATGCTATTTTACTCCACTGAGTACCACAAGCAAAGCTCTTTTATGCGAGTGTTTGTTATTATCCACACTCACTAGCTGCTATCCTTGCTTTATATTATAAAAGGGTAGCTTAGTAATTAAAGAAAAAAAAGAGAAAAGACAACATCAAGGCCCAAGCCATTTTTCCCCTTTGCTTTGACATTAAACATTATGTGGGCAATTAAAACTTAGAGATGAAGTCACAAAATTTGATAGCTCTTTTGAGTGGCATACTATAATCAGCTTGTTCCATTGCATTTAACTTTTTGTACATATTTTATATTTTGAAAGTACGTTCAAATTGCTGTAATGAATGGCAAAACAAGTTCTCAGTTTACTTTCTACAATACCTTAAAGTCAAGACACCACCTTTTAAAAATGTATAGACAGCACAGGCACCCGAGTGACTCTTGCTAATATTATTAAGTGTTCTTGCGAGCTGTATTGGCAATAAAGTACTCTATCAGAAACATGCTTCACCCATATCCAAGGTCATTGGTATTGCCCAAATAGGTCATAAAACCATTAAATAATACCAGAAAGAGAAAAGGGAAGAATATCAAGCAAACCCCCGCACACAGTTGTGCACTCATTTTTCTCCCTAATCAAACTGCTAAATACTGATTCATTTTTATTCAAGTTAATACTAGTATACTAAGACATTAAGAAAACCCTTTAATAATTATGATTTATGACAGTAGATATACGTACATATATTTTCAAGATGATTAGCACAGGGTCACTTATATGGATATCAGTATTGATACTAATGGAAGGTCATAATGAAAGGTATTCAGTCTACTAAATACAATTCTGCTGGACAGAACCCATAATCAAGTTACAACTGAAATGAGTTTAATCAGTTCAGTCTCGCTTCTGCACATTTGTCCTTCTTAAAGACAAAATAATAATAATAGGCCACTGACAGAAAGACAGCGTATGTTATATCTGTAGCATCTACCGCTCACTCGCTCTCATAGGCAATAAATAAGGCTACAATTCTTAGAGCCCTGCATATTCACAGATATCTGAATCCGCAGTTATGGATGTAGATATCAGCAGCTAATTTTTGCGGTTACAGATGTAAATACAAATTTTGTATTTAGAATCCTGTATATCTGCAAAAGCGAGCAGTGGATATAAAGCAGTTATCTGAAAATGCAGATGCTGAGGAAACTTGTATCCGCACTATGATTATTTTACAGAATCCCGGAATTTCAGAGACCCGTGACATTTTTCTGCCCCAAGGCTGGAGATGTCAGTAGGTAGCCCCGCAGATCTCAGCCACTGCTGGAGGACCCTTGGAACTCCCAGCTGCAAGGGGGGGAGGGGAAGAGCAGGGAAGAGAGACAAGGAGACTCCAGAATTCCCACCCACTGTGGGTGCTGGATCTGCCCCCTCCACATTTTGAAAGAGATATTTTTAATAAAAAGTCACAGACAGGTCAGTTATTCAGCATATGTCCGTGATTATTACTAAAAATATCCGTAACAAAACCTGAGCCTTACCAGTAAACATAGGACAAACAAATAAGGATCAAGGATTGTGAAGTCTCAGCCCAACATAGTCATCAAGGCAAAGGTTACACTTAGATAAGTCACCTTTCAAATTGTCTCTGGTGTATAAGACTCCCATATCTGCTGGAATAGAGTCAAAGCCACTGCTTCCAATTATATATATTCCCTTTTCTGCAGCTTTATCATTATATTTCAGATACATTCCTTCCAGAAACTGAAAAATATAAAAATAAACATTTTATGCAGAATAATCCTTAACTGTGGTTTAATCTGAGCTTCAAAGAAAGATGCTAAATTGAATAATTCTAATTTTAACCATAAAAAAGAATAATTAATTGTAATTTTTTCTACTGAAATGTTGCAGAGTAGATTTGGGAATCTAGGATTTGCTTTTGTCAGGTGCTACCACATAGGAATGTAAAATTTTGATTGTTTAATCGAACAGTCAATGCAATTTGCATCAACTATTCGATTAGTCAATAAGAGCGTCTCCGCCTCTGAAGTGTAGCAACAGCTCCTAACCCAGGGGGTTCCACAAAATCCACTAGGCCTGGGGCACCCAAAAGAGTTAATCCTGGGCTGTTGCTACACTTTAAAGGCAAAAGGGCTGCAGAGAGCACTGGGCTAGCAGGGGACTCAAGCATTCCTCCACTGGCCTCATGGTCCCCACGGCGTTTCAAAGCAGCAGCACTGCATGTAGTCCGAGGTCAGCAGGGGAGGCCGCAGCTGACCCCAAGCTCCACGCGGTGCTGCCATTTTGAAACGCCACATGCAGCCCGGTCTAGCTGAGGACTCCCAGCTGGTCCCAGGCTGCATGCCGCATTTCAAAGCTGCAGCACTGTGTGGAACCCAGTGTCTGGTCCTGGGCTGCACGCAAGCACCCCTTCCATTGCATTTGCTTATCGGATAGTCGACTCGTTGTTCACATTCCTAGTGCCACACACGCACAACTCCTTTTTAAAGTCAGTGGAAGTTGAGGGCACTTGTAAGTACCAAGCCCTCTAACAGACAATAGAATACGTTTTTACTATATTTTCTGAATAGATTACAATGTGACTTGTGAAGCAACAATGAGTAGAAAAAAATCATCATTGTTTTACACAGGGGCGAGGAACCTACAGCCCGTGGCTTGCCTGGATCTGGTCTGCGAGGCTCAGGGCTTCTCCACACCAGCGACGCGAGCTGGCACTGGCACCAGCACCCCAGCAATGCAGGTGGTGCTGTGGCAGAAGCGTGAACTCCCTACTGCAGGGGGGAACCCCAAACCTCACAAACCAAGATGCAGCTTGTGGCTTGCACTGATGACTCTCAGGCTCTGGCAGGGGGAGGAAGTGCTCCCTCTGCAGCATGGAGAGCCATGCGGAGTTACCTGAGGCCTCCTTCCCCCAAGAGCTGTGCCAGATAGGTGCCCCAATCCCCTACCCCCTCCCACAACCTCCTCCTGCCCAGACCCCACACCCCTACTCCGTAGCTGCACTCTACCTCCCGCCCAGACCCTGCATCCCTCCCCAGCAGTCCCCTCCCACATACTGAATCTCTTGGTTTTGGACCCACCCCCAAAGCCCAGGGGGCCCCACAAAATCCACTAGCCCTGGGGCCCCATAAGAGTTTAATCCAGCCCTAGGAATAAGCTCTGATCCTTGATGTTCTCCCCGCCCCCATGGGGCTGGAGCTTGAGGGGAGTGTCCTCTTTTTTCCTTTCTTGTAATTTCCAGACTTGAGGGTTCCCCTCCCCCATTCTCACTCGGGAGCCATGTCAGTGAGAATTGTGGGGTTTGGGTTCAGGGGGGAGGGGGAGAGAATGACTTCTCACTTGTGTCAAGTATCAGAGGGGTAGCCATGTTAGTCTGAATCTGCAAAAGCGGCGAGGAGTCCTGTGGCACCTTACAGACTAACCGAAGTGTAGGAGCATAAGCTTTCGTGGGCAGTTAGTCTATAAGGTGCCACAGGACTCCTCGCTGCTCTCACTTGTGTGTTACTCCTGACTGATTTTTCTGAGAGTCAGTGGCCCCTGACCAAAAAAAAGGTTTCCCACCCATGTTTTACCAAATAAAATAAGATTCTGGATATTTATTTATTACTTTTATCTGAGTCACAAGCGAGTTGATAGGTTCTCTTTAACAACAATAAGCACTTCTTGCATCTTACCTTTTGCACCTTAACTTTCTTAATAGTTAATGCAGCACTTTTAGAAAGATGTAAGGGTGAGTAGGAATTAAGATTTCAGTCCAGAAAAATATTTAATCATGCATTTAACTATAAGCGTAAGAGTAGTCATATGGAAGTAAAAGGGACTGCACATGCCTAAGCATTCTGTTGTATTGAGGCCTAAAAATCTCATTTTTTAAAAAATTATTAATACTCCAGTAAGACAACACAGTACAAATTGTAAATTAAAGGGACTAGTAAATTAAGGGATCAGAACAAGATAGCAAAGAATGACCTTTTACTATTTATCTAACCTGTGTGAAAGCACATCCATATTTCACATTTGTATAGCAGCTTTATCATTGATAAGTTTTGGAAGATTATTCACATATTAGAGAGTCACTGAAATGCAGAATCTGGCTTCTTTTAGGCATATATTACATTGCCCAAATGGGAAAGGAGGGATCATTTTGATCAAGGTCAGAGCATATCAATAAGAATGTACACGGAATATTTAATGCACGCACACGCCAGAAAGGCATTCCATTTGAATAGTCTCTTTAAAAACAATTACATGAGTCAACTTTGGGGGGGAGGGGGGGCCAATTTTGAACCCCAACTTCCAGTGAGATTAAATATTTCATATGTATAGCATAGACCAGTGCTCCCAATCTTTTTTTATACTGTGGACCGGCAAACTCATTCCAAAACTTTTTATGGACTGGCACTGAACCATTTGCATATTCATTATCAGGGCTCGCTGAGCCGCAGCAAGCCCCGCTTACCAGCCGCACGGTTCTGCGCTCTGCGCATGCACAGATCGCTCCGTGCCAGCTCTTCCAGGGTGTAATCTACTCGCCACGGGCGAGTAGATTACACTATTTGTCGAGCCCTGTTCATTATGGTAATTAATTTTAAGCAGTCACGTCTTATTTTACATTGCATCTGTGCACACACAATACATATCATTGTAATGTATTTTTTATTATTCCCATCCCCTCAAAGTAGTATTCAAGAATTGCAAAACATAACCAAAAATATGCACAGTGCTTTCTTGTGAAAAAACATTAATGATGGCACAGGATGGGGCAGTGGGCTGTTAATCCTCATGTCAGCAGCATCCAGTCAGGGAAAATAATGAAACTGTGGCATGCATGCATGCATGCATAAATGAGTGACAGCTTTGTGGATCCCAGGCTGACAGGGCTGGGGTAGCCATATGGATTTTATCAGAGAAATAAAGATTGTGAATTCTTGAATTGTAAGGCCAATGTAATAAGAAGCTCTTCAAATATACAAAATGCAGATATTGGGATAATAAAAATAAATGTATATAGTGCATGTCAAAATCAAGGAAGTGACTTCATTTTTGTATTTCTTGAACCTTGATTTCCCTTGCTTCCTATGCATGAGAAGCCCCCACGAAGGATTTAGCACCCAGAACTCAGTGTGGCCGGGCAGCAGAAGCAAATACCTGTGTGCGCATGCTGGCTGGGAGCAGCTGGAGACCAGGGGGAGGCTCCTCCCAAGGAGGGAGGAAGCCACCCAGCAGCACCAGCGTGGGCAGGAGAACAGGCTCGTGGGGTGGCTGGTTCCTGGTTCCTATGCATGAGAAGCCCCCACGAAGGATTTAGCACCCAGAACTCAGTGTGGCCGGGCAGCAGAAGCAAATACCTGTGTGCGCATGCTGGCTGGGAGCAGCTGGAGACCAGGGGGAGGCTCCTCCCAAGGAGGGAGGAAGCCACCCAGCAGCACCAGCGTGGGCAGGAGAACAGGCTCGTGGGGTGGCTGGTTCCTGGTTGGCGGCAGCTGCCTTCCACACGGTGCAGGCCCTGGCCACCAGAGCAGCCACCCTCCACATGGCCCTGCCAGCCAAGCCGTGTAACAGCAGCCAGAAATGAAACCAGGGCCACAATGAGGCTGCCCCAATAAGGACAGCCTCACCGCAGCACCGGCTCCAGCTGGAGCACACCCAGCTGCCCGCCGCACCACTCACCCTGCTGCTGCGTGGGGAAGTGGGAGGGTAGAGAATTTTTTGTGCGCCTGCAGGCATGCACCTTATGGAGAAGCCCAGCAGGCGGAGCTCATTAGAAGCTGGGGATGCGGCCTGGCAGTGTGCCAGGGCCCGGCCGTTGGGAACTGCTGGCATAGACCACTAATCCACCCTATACAAAAGTTACAATCTATATCTAGGGAGCCTACCAGCAGACATAACGTTCAAAATTAGTAAAATATTTTAAGATTGCCCAAAAGACTGATACTCTTTAAGTGCCTAAAATAATTTCTGAAAGTAGAATTTAGGCTCCTAAGTCATTTGAGCCCTTTTGAAAATTGTACCCAATCAGCACATTTACAGTGCTATATGTATTCAAAGCATTTTGTAAGAATTAACTAATCCTTAGCATTGGAAAAAGTTCAGAAAAGGGCAACAAAAATTACTAGGGGTTTGGAACGGCTGTCATATGAAGAGAGATTAAAAAGACTGACATTTCAGCTTAGGAAAGAGGAAACTATGGGGGGGATATGACAGAGGCCTATAAAATCATGACTAGTGTGGAGAAAGTGAATAAGGAAAAGTTATTTACTTGTTCCCGTAATGTAAGAACTAAGGTTCACCAAATTAAATTAATAGGCAGCAGGCTTAAAACAAACAAAAGGGAGTACTTCTTCATGCAACACACGGACAATCTGTGGAATTCCTTGTGATGTTGTGAAGGTCAGGACTTTAACAGGGTTCAAAAAAGAGCTAGATAAATTCATGGAGGATAGGTCCATCAATGGCTATTAGCCAGGATGGATAGGAATGGTGTCCTTAGCCTCTGTCAGAGGCTGGGAATGGATGACAGAGGTGGGATCGCTTGATGATTACCTGGTCTGTTCATTCCCTCTGGGTGCACCTAGCATTGCCTACTGTTGGAAGACAGGATACTGGGCTAGATGGACCTGTGGTCTGACTCAGAATGGCCGTTCTTATTTTATGTTACAACACTCCTATGAAATCAGAAAACCAATATTTAGTGTTCCTATTTTATGGTTTGGAAAATAATGCAAAAGTCAATCTCAAACCTCCCAGATAACATCACAGTCAAGGTTGGGATTTAGAACTCAGAAGTTCCTGATTTTCAGTCTCACACTGTATCTAGTAACTCTGGACAAAGAGTAAAGAAAGGGCTACTAAGAACATATTTAACATCACAGGTTAGAGACTGAAAAATATTTTCCTGTTCAGGAATATCAGAGAGAACTAAAGATGTGACCCAATTATATTCAATAAAACTGTCTTTAGTAAGACCAGGGGGTTGTGCCCTCTGCTTGCTACACTCACCAACCACCATTCTCGCTGGCTGCTTTTGCAGCCAGAGAGCCTGTTAATCTTGCACTGAGCCCAGCTATGTTCTCCAAGGCCCCAAGTCATTCGCACCCTTCTCCACTCACACCCCTGGACAGGCCCTTCTTTCCAAACACTCACAGCCCATCCCATCCACACGCTTTCAGGCCATCCCATCTATTCATGCCCTTCAACCACTAGCCAGTCCTCCTGCCTGCACCCTTCCCGCTCCTGCCCCACCCACCAATAAAATAGTCCATGGCCCACAAAACACCTCCTCCCTTCCATCCCTAGCCCTACCTTCATCCTCCATTCCTACATCCCCATTCCCCCATTTCCATTCACCACCACCTCTATCCTTCCTAACTCCCCTCCATCCCTACTCCCACTTCCATTTCTACACCCACCATCCTCCCTAACCCCTCCCACACCACATGGCCTATCCCTACTCCCACCTCCTTCCTCCATTTTCTTATACCCCCATCCTTCCCCTCCACACCCACACATTATCCATCTCCCTGCTTCCCTTTCTATAACCCGTTCACTCCCACCAACTCCCCTTACAGCACCACCTATCCCCACATACACCCTATCCTCCTTCCTCCCTCCCCCCTACACACACCCTGCCCTCTCCCATGAACAGGCAACCTAACCCATGAAAGAAATGGTATCAGGTCCATATGCAAGAATTTCTGTGTGGGGACTGCTCAGGGTGCTGTGACAGCAGGATTTGGGCAGCTGCCTGGAGAGAGAGGGCAGCAAAGGGACTAATTTAGCTACAACTACTCAAGAGAGATCTTGGAGTCATTGTGGATAGTTCTCTGAAAACACCCACTCAGTGTGCAGCATCAGTCAAAAAAGCAAATACAGTAAACTTCCGATAATCCGGCACCTTTAGGACCCAGGGAGTGCCGGATTATCTGGTATGCCGGACTATCGGAAGGGGGGGCTATGAGGGATCTGGGGTGGGGTGGGGAGGATGCCACCTCAGACCCCTCATAGCCCCCCCTTCCGATAGATAGTCCGGCTCTGCCCCAGGCGTCCCTGACTCAGCCGCTGCTGGGCA